TCAAATAAAATAACATCAGATTTAGAAAAAAACATATATTCCAATAAAATTAATGTCCAGACAATGCCAGGATGTAACTAGCAAAATATTGTCTACTATATTAACAACATTCATTTCTTGATCATGACTGAGATTATTGAAAATATTTAAACAAACACGGAACAAAACTTTCCACAATTTTTATCGTGATGTACAAGCTCTATCTATCTATCAATCAATCAATCTCTCTCTCTCTCTCTCTCTCTATATATATATATATATATATATATATATATATATATATATATATATATATATATACTTTACAATTGGAATTACTATACCTAATTCCAATTGTAAAGAAAATTTGCTCCGTTTATTGTGAATAAACATAGAGCGCTCTTTTGTGAGTCAATTTTAACATATTTCAAATTCTATGTTGTGTTAATAGGACTGGCCTGGATTACTACCTATATATATATATATATATATATATATATATATAGTAAAGAGAGAGAGAGAGAGGGGGGAAGGAAGGAAGGGATAGAGCGAGAGAGAGAAAATTATGTTCGCGCATGCCCGTGTTTGTGTGCGCGCACGCGCGTCTTTCTTTCTTTTCTTTTCTTTTTTTTAAATTTACAGAGAAAAGTTTGAACATACATTCTCCAATCTCTTCCGGTCACTTTCTATGTAGATTATAAAATTTATGTTAACAAAATGCACTTATATATTATCTAGAGTAAAGATATTTCCAACTCATGAATTGTTCGAACAGGACTTTTTGGTAATTATTGTTTCTGAGCCTGATTACGGCGACGCTAGTTCTGATTCAGGACAATGTACCACGAATCTTTTGGGGAAAAAAATTGCTTCTTCTCTGGATTATTTTCAGACAATCGATTCTGAAAGGTGGTTTGAGAGCCTAACAGCAAAAAAAATATCAGAGTCGAGGCCATCTGTTTTAATTATTATTCATCTTCAACACAACTGTGAGTAGTCATGACGCATGTGTCAGCTGACCAATTAACATTCCAGTAGTGAGGAGAAGAGGATGCTAGACTACGAGATACTACGTGACTCTCGGCAATATACGAAAAGTTAACACTTACTTTTTTAGACATGTGAAACAAATCCAAGTTTCTTTCGATGATGCAAGACAACTCACTCGCTGCAACCATAATTCTACGACTTCTAAATGTCTACTACAAACGATATTCACTCGGCTTCTCCTTCAACAACGGACGCTCCCACTTCTACTTTAGCCTATCAATCACAAATGGGTCAGAAAATTAATAACACATCGAGAACGTCGCTGCTACTCTCTACCAAGCGCTTCTTAAAAATATTTTGTAATTAATGTAAGTCCCGACTTTCTTATGAACATTTTCCCCTACATAGCTTAATTTTATTCTTCTATGTGCCGTTTCCATTCAGGATGCCAGTGATCATGGCGCTCCACAACTTCCTATCCACTGTGACCCTTAGCAGTGTCTCTCTCTGCCAAGCCTCCCCCAATTCCATTCTACTATCCATCCACACAAGCTCGTTAAATAATTGGTTCCTTACCTTCCCCTATTTATCTTGCCCTCGATCTGCCTTGTGAGGGTTACGTTTTCCAAACCCGCCTTCCTCATTATGTGTCCAAGAAATTTCAGCTGTCTCTTCCTGATTCTGAGTAGAAGTGTTCTTTTTTAAACCAATTTTCTTTAAGACTTTCTTGTCGCTTGCTCACTACGTCCATGGAATTCTCAGTATCCTTCTGTAGAACCACTTCAGTGTTTTCGCTTTATTTGCGGAGAGATGTTCCAGCCATCACTGCTATATAAGAGAATGGATATTACATAGCAATTCGGCATACTGATCTTTGTATCTAACGAAATTTTACTGCTTCTTAGTGTTGTCATTCCCCTGAAAGAAGATAACACAATCATGAAATATAATGCCACTTGGAGTCGACGTAGTCTTACTGAATTCTGTATTATGGTTCGTTCCCGGTTCGCTCAGTATTTTACCAAACCTCTTCACAAGGCAGGATGCGGCACAAGGCCAATTTTTAAGTGGGGCAAATCCGAGCCCGTAAACGCCGTAATAAAAGATTCGAGTTTGTCTACCACCACAGTCGAGACTCTGCCTATTGGCATAGCATCATCTGGGTTGCTCTCCGACCAAAGGCAGAGAGTCTGACAAGATCTAAGTCCTACGCGAGCGGTTAGATCGGCATTTACCAAACCTCCACACAAGACAGCATGCAGCACAAGGCCAATTTTTATGTGGGGAAAATCTGAGCTTGGGTAAAAATTCCTCATAATAACGGAATCGGGTTTGTCTACCTCCCCAGACGAAACTTTGCCCTTTGGCATAGCCACGTCAGTGTTCCTCTCCGCCCAAAGGCAGAGAGTTCGACAAGATCTAAGTCCTACGCGAGCGGTTAGCGCGGTATTTACCTAACCTCCCTACAAGGTAGGATGCAGCACAAGGCCAGATTTACATGGAGCGATTCCGAGCCCGGATGCTCGGGCAA